GGATTCAAATCCAGTTCTACAGATTAGAGTCCTGCTGCTCTTAACCACTACACCAAACTGTCTCTCTTTTAATGCGAGAAACGGGGAGGGATTTGGGTTTGCTATTACCCATTATTATAACCCTCCTTGAACCACAAGGAAATGTGGGATATAAATGTTTTATTAAATAAAACTATGCCCTCTATTTCTTGAGAGCACCCCTGAAAAAAACAACTACCTACTTTTTCTTTTAGGTAATTACAATTAATTTACAACCCCCCATGCAGATCAATGGTTGGCATTACAAATATGGCAAGAGCTTGGTGGTAATGAATGAGAACATCCACTTGTAAAGAGAAGTTATTTTTCTGCATGTTTGTAACCAACACAGTCTCAAACCTTTTAAAAAACAGGAATTAATTAGGGATGGGCTCTGGCTGACCACCTCTCCACCCCAGAATTTTCTTCCAGTAATGAAATGGATATTAAATTAAAATAGTCATGTTCAGAAATTGAGTAAATTTTGCCTTACCAGTATATAGCTGAGGGTATTCTAATAACACCAGTAAGATTATGTGCATTTTGATTGCTCAATTGATGTAGTAGTCTAATTTTCAATATCCATCTGTAAACTTCTTTTCTTATGCAATCCAGCAGAAGATAATTTTGAATTTTACATGCATGTCATACTTAGGGTAGATTTTTCTTTTCAAATGCAGCAAATGTCAAAACCAATTTAAGGGTATTTTATTCTGCACCAAATTTTTTGTCCGTTTCCCATGTCTGTAAGGCAAATATATAATCTGTTTGACAATAGCTCTCTCCTGCTTTCTACTGTGCATTAACATTCATAATGAAGTAAGGTCAAAGGGATTTTTAGCATAATGTGTGAAAATGGCCTAAGAATCCAATCCTATACAGGTTTATTTGGAAGGCATCAAGCCCCACTGCTTTCAGCAGAATTTACTCTCAAATTAATTTTCTTAGGATCACAGCCTTTATTATGTATGGCACTATTTCCATATGCAGTTTAAATTAGTTTTTGCTTCAGATCTATATGGAATGTAAAAACTGTATGAGCTAGAATGCACATTGGATTAAAAATGGCTCTCTTCTGTATTTTTATCATGTGTAAACATTTGCTGAAGACGTAAGGAATGGGAGGCCCTTTTAACATCACACGTGAAAATTCTCCCAGACTGAAGCCTGACACTTAACAAGAAGAGGAGATTGGATTTATACCCTGCCTTTCACTACCCGAAGGAGTCTCAGACCAGCTTACAAACCCTTTCTCTTCCCCTCCCCACAACAGACAGCCTGTGAGGTAAGTGGGGCTGAGAGAGCTCTTTCAAGAACAGCTCTGACAGAACTATGGCTTGCCCCAGGTCACCTAGCAGCTTCATGTGGAGGAGTGGGGAATCAAACCTGGTCCTCCCAGATTAGAGGCCACACTCCTAACCACCACACCAAACTGGCTGCAAGTCCTATTATACTCAGTGGTGCTTCTGAAAGAGTAATTTATTTTTGATGACAGATTTGACTGTTTAATATGTTGATTATGGAACATGCATACTTATTTAAAATGTATTTTGTGTTTGCCATCATGAGGGGACTGTGGCTAGGACCAACCAGGGATTGTCCCTGCCTCCTGCAGAACTCCTTTCCTCAGAATTCCACCACCACTATCTTTCTCTCAGATTTGCACATACACCTAGAAACAGCAGTGCCTTCTGAACACCCATGAGCTTGGCGATCAAGCAGAGATACCAGGATATGGAATGTCTGGCTCCTGAGTCAGGAGGTTTCCATCACCAACCATGATTCCTGAATACTCAGGCTGTCTGTCAGGGAAAGTGCCCCAGAGGAACCTACACAAGGAGAAACCAAGATTATCAAGCACCTTTCCTATGAGGAGAGGCTAAAGAGTCTGGGATTTTTCAGGTTAGAAAAGAGACAACTAAGGTTTATACAATTATACACAGAGAGAGAGAGTAGACAGAAAATTTCTCCTTTTCCCAACATACTAGAACTCAGGCGCACCCAATTCAATTGATGGGCAGTAGATTCAGGATGGACAAAGGAAATACTTGTTTATTCACCGTGTTATTAAACTGTGGAATTCACTGCCAGAAGATGTAGTGGCAGCCACAGACTTTAAAAGGGGCATAGACAGATTCATGAAGGACAGGTCTACCAGTGGCTATATCTGAGTGCCATTGCCAGGAGGCAGCATCAGGGGAAGGCCTCAGTCTCTGTATTCTGTTGCTGGAACGACTGGTTGGCCACTGTGTGAGATGTTACCCAAATCAGTCCTTGTGCAAGCCTGTCACACCAGAGCATCCCCCTAAAACAGTACTTTCAGAGCACAAAAAACTGGGCCAAAACCTGAATGGTCCAGTGTCTATACAACTCACAGATCCATGAAGTAAATATTTTTAGATTAAAAAGTACCCAGTTAATGTTACTTAATAAATCATGTTCCTCCCACTTGCCTAGTCCAGAGCAGAAAGTGGGGTGGAGGGTTACCCAAGTGGAGAAATGGGATGGCGCTTTAGTAACAAGGATTCTCTGACCAGGTAGCTAGGAGAAGAGGCTGCCTTGCTGGAGGGCTGACAGATCCCGAACTGGGGAAGGAGAAGCTAAGAAAAGAGTGTCCAGGAAAAAAAAGGAGAAAATAGGGAAAAAACAGGGAAGAAAAGCAAAATGGGAGAATATGTCATACTCTACCTGTCCTGAAGAGGCAAGGATCCAGGGATGTAGTAGTGGAAGATGGCTGGGTGAGACCATTTACAAAATTTAAGGACATGGTATGCCCTTTTTATGGATCTGAGTTTATCCAGGCTGCAGTGGTGAAAACCTGTCATTGGTCAAATTGGGCACAACGCTGTTGCGATCCCACAGAGATACAAGCTACAGTAACAGTGGTAGAATGCTAGACGGACCACTGCCTTGATGTAGCAGGGTTATTCTTAAGGATGCTGTCCCTGGCTCTCACTGCTACACTCAACCGGACCCATACCAAGAGACTATTCCCCAGCTCAGTGAGCCTCCCGGTATAAGCAGGGCCATCCTCCCTTTGCTACTGAATTCACCATGGTTATGAGGATATTAATAAACAAGAGGAAATGTATCTTCTTTAGACTTTTATTGTATGTTCTTCACAGACAACTGCAGAGAGACATAATTCATGTAACAGAATGATTAATTATACCAGACAAACACACAGGACTTGTATGTGCAACAATGACCCTTCTGACATGCAGTATTAGCATGATCTCCCCCCTCCCCCCGGTGTAACGTGGTTAATGAAATGAGTATTACAAATCCATTTGAACTGAGAAGCAGCAAGCAACACGTATAGTTCTGACAGTGAGATGGCTTTGCTCCATTGCCAAAAGTGCATGAAACATTGATTGCTTAAGGGTCAAGGCATAAGGTAGAACGTGGAAGAGACATAAAATTGTCCATGCAGCCTGCTCTCTTACCCATATACTGGCACTGCTGTTGACCTGAACAGTATCTATTTGAATGCCGTACCATTTTACCATTTCAAAATGTCACTTTACCACAATTAACTTTGAGATGAATGTTATCACAAGATAGTGATCTGACAAATGTTGGATTCTTCCTTTCCACCTTCGATCTGTTGGCTTCTATCCTACGAGATACGCGAGCCGAGTATGGAGCTGGCCTTTCCTGCTTCTCCCTCCCACTGCAGCCCACGGAGCCCTCTGGAATTTTGTTCTTAGGGGCCAGCTGACTAAATTGGGGAAAATCTGCAGAAATAATGACCCTCACCCACTGACAGAAGTGCTCCATTATGTGAAACACAGTGTAGGGTAAAAGCCGTCATTTCTTCTAAACCTCTTTTAGCTACAACTTTCACACTAGATTCTTGCATTCTCCATCTCAACGAAGTGGAAATAATCCCCAAATCTTTGCCAGAATACTGAAGCATATATTTTCATCTCAAAGTGTCTGTGGCCAATTTTAGATAATAATTCAAGTACACAGTTTTACTAATATCATGCTTAGAGTTTGAATGCTTACTGTGAAACACACACATGTATATTTACGTAAATTTTTAAATCTGTGTATATATTAATATTGGCATACGGACATGGAACGGAAATATATAAGCATTTTTTAACATTGCTATAAAAATACTACGGTGAGAAATATATACCGCTTCGTTTTCTGACAGAACAGTGCAGAACTCATCACACTTTAGTACAACGGAAGAACTGATGACTGCTGCAGCTGGTTCCTCCCACTCAAAGGTCATTTCAGATTTTGAAGTGTTAAATATGGCTGTCTCTACAATGACGCAAGGAGAAGAGGTGATCTCAGATGGCAGGTCCCCCAGCAGAGGGTGGAAGGCCTCTGCTTGCTTTGCCCACACC